GGCCCACCCCCCTCTGTCCCCCGCCTCCCCCTTCCCCCAAGGTCCACTCCCCTCTGCCCCCCAGCCTCCCCCAAGGTCCACCCCCCTCTGCCCCCAACCTCCCCCTTCCCCCAAGGTCCACCCTCCTCTGCCCCCCGCCTCCCCCTTCCCCCAAGGTCTGCCCCCAGCCTCTCCAAGCCCATCTCCAGCCCAGGGCCACCCCGCTCCACACCCCTAGGCCCCAGGAGAGTTAGTACAACAACAGCTGGTGACCTCTGACCTTCAGCGGAACGAGGCTGTGGCCCTAGAGGGGGGGAGCCCTCTCCTAGCAACAACCCCCGTAGGTATAGGTAAATGAATCTCACGTGACCAGGGCCCGGCGCAGCGCCTGCGTGACCCCGGCGGGTCAGAGGGCAAAGGTCTCGGGGGCGGAAGCAAGCGGCTCACAATCCCCGGCGTTGTGTTGTGTCCGGCCCGTTCCCGCTCGGGCCCCGCCGGCCCGGGATCCCCGGGCCCTATGAGCGTGTCACTCGTTGTGATCCGCCTGGAGCTGGCCGAGCGCTCCCCGCTGCCCGCCGGCTTCCCCTACAGCGCGGCCGGTGAGTCCCGGGGAGCCGAGGCGGGCGGTGGGTCTCCCTCCGCTGGGGCTGGCGAGTCGCTCCCCCCTCCCCGTCTGATCGAAGGGGGTGAGCGGGAAGGTGACCCCCCGATGGAGCTGGGGGAGCAGGGTATCCTCCCCCCCCGACTGCAGGGGTAGGGGGCTGGTGGGGGAGGGGGAGCAAGGTGTCTGCCCGCCCCCCTCGTTCAGGGGCGGGGAGTTCTCTCCCCCCTCCCCGAGCAGGGTCGGGGGGCTAGTGTATATGGCGGGGGGCAGAGTTTTCTGTTCCTCCTTCTGTGTAGTGGAAGGGAACTGATGGGAGGGGGGTCAGGGTGTCTGTCTTTTTCTGGGGGTGGGGGGTGCTGGGGAAGCAGCGTGTCTGTCTGCAGATCTCTGAAGGGGGTTGAGGTGTGGAAGCAGGTGCCCCCCTGCCCTTTGAAGGGGGAGGGTTAACGTGTTTTTTTTATTGTTGTTGGGTTGGGGTTTTTTTTAAGCTTTCATTTTGTTTTGCAGTTTCTAAAAGAAAACAACCTTGCTCGGGGCAAACTAAAACTTGTGGCAGCAGCAAATGGGTGTGACGGGGGGGATGTCCCCTCATCAAAGGCTAAACACCTAGTACAGTTATTAAAAGTGTTTTCCAAAGTGCATCGGGGTATAGGCAGATAAATGAGGTCAAATTTGACAGGCATGACTAAAAAGGAACCACTCTCCTGTATAAAGGATAATAACTCAAGACTCCCTTTATTACCAGATAAAAACCCTATGAAATCTGACCTGGCTATAGCTGCCACTGATATATATGCAGTGATGGTGCTTATATGACTCCTCAGAGTTTAAGTGCACTGTTTGGAGGGATGATTAACTCGTCCTAATATCTGACCACATTTTGCCCTTTTTTTAGCTTCACAGCTGTTGAATATAAAAGAGATGTACATTATTTTAAAGAGTGACAGACCACATGTTTGTTGTAGCGGAAATAAAATATATTCTCAGAATAGTGCTCTTCTGATTCATGTTTTTGCTGGCCGGAAGAAGGAATAAAAGCAGTTTCAAGAATTAATTTAATAAGCTAGTAATGGCCTAATTGCTGTTATTACACAGGTCTGCTCTGCCCTTGCTTGAGTAGAGTTGTTTGTTTCTGCTTCTGGGTTGCTATTGTAATGACATTAATCATCGTTTCTACTTAGCCACTGAAATGTCTGATGAGGAAATCAAAGAAAAGTCATTAGCTTCAGCTACAGCCTGTCTAGAAGGAAAGGCACCTATGGAAAAAGCAGCTATTATTCACCAGCATATTGGTCGCAGAGAGATGACAGATATGATCATAGAGACCATAAAGTCCAATCCAGGTACCCATTCCAAAAGTTTGAAAAGGGTGGTTTTGGTCCTGTTAATTTCTCTGGTACATTTGTATGGCTATGCAACAAATTGTAGCATAAGTTGTCTCTTAGAAGTATTTAAAATTGGGCTGATTTTCCAAGGTGCTGGGCATGCAGGAGTGCCCAGTGACCAAAATCTATTGTGTTACAAACGTAAGGGCATGAAAATGCCAGGTTTTTTTTAAGAATTATTTTTTGGGAACGGGTAGGCGAATCCACTTGGCCAGGCAAAGCACTACCCAGCAGGGACAGCCTCTTGCCAGTAAACGCAAAGTGTACACTTGTTTATTTGTGCATGCACATCAGAGTACCCTATCCTTGTGATTAGCAGGCAGGTTTCGAAACTCTCAATTGTTTAATGTAAAATTCTATAACTTGTGGAAAACTAACTTCAGAATGGAGAAAAAAATGCAAAACTAGATGATATTAAATTCTATAGCCAAACAAATCCCAAGGAAAATTGTCCTGACAACATTGTTTGCTTTCATATTTAATTCAATAAAATCTGTTTTTTAACTGTAGAAAAGTCAGGGTGCTACAGAACTTAGCATGGCACCCTTCAGAGCTTGTCTAGCTGGCTTCACAGCACCCCGGGGCCTTGCCAATAGCTCTCTAATACTGGTGACTAAAGATGCTTAGTAGTTATGTTGATAATTATTGTCTGTCCGGACCCCATAGATTAGAACTGTTTGTAATTCTGTTTTCAAAGGGAATTATTTGACTTATCTGGCTCTATTGTACATTAAGATGACAATTAAAGTGCAGTTGAAGTTTCTAATGTGTGGCGTGTAATCAGAAAGCTTTTGATTTGTAAAAGATGAGACAAAAGCTGCAATGGAAGGAAGAAAATCTTCAGAGGCTTCATCTGTTGACGATAAAAGTAAACGTGATGGTCCAACTAAAGAATGTGTTGAGGCTGCTCCAGACTCGCCATCTAAGCAACTTCCTGACCAGATTTCCTTCTTCAGTGGGAATCCATCAGTTGAAATAGTTCATGGCATTATGCACCTGTACAAAACAAAGTAAGAACATGATTAACTAATTATAGATTTAGTGTGAACAATGCCATAGAATTATGCTGCCATCCAGAAGGGTGAGTCAGTAACCATTGGGGCTGCTACTCCTTGGACTGGCAGAGCAGTGACACACTGGCAGTGTGATATATTGGCATCCAGAAAGGATTACAGTGCCATCTGAATTGTATCGCTGCAGTAATGGTAGAACCTGAAGCAGGTCCAGGCCTTCCAGCCATGGGTAAGGTCACTTCTGGTAGTGCGTGCTTGTGCCAGGGTTAGAAGTGACGAGACCAGTAAAAATAGTGGCTGCAGACAAACTGGTTTTGAGCGGACTCTGTTGAAGGATATCCCTGCATTCAAATTCCTACAGCAGAAATAGGGTGAGAACCTGCACTTTCCAAATGTGTTGGGTTTTTCTTTTATTATTTATTTTTATGATAGCACAATTGTGTACTTTGGGGAGCTGAATGCGAATTTCAGTCTCTGATATTCATCGTGAAAGTTACCAGGACACGATGACATGTTGTATGCATACTCCATTTTTCATGATAACCGTTGCAAACTACAAATGCTCAAAATATTCCTAGAACAAATGAGCAAGTTCCAACTGCTTTTCTAAAACTACAGATCTCAGTTTGAAGGGGATGATCTGTCTCTTCCAGTGCTGCACATATCGTCAGCAAACGGTTCATGACAAAATTTGTATGGGCATTTTTAGACTTGTTACCACAACCTCTTGTTAAATCTTAAATGCTTGCAAATAGGTAAAGAGCTTTGAGGTTGGTGTTTAAAATAATGTTAATAGCTAACCATTTGAACTATGAAGCATCAAGTTTTCTTTGTCTTCTATGTAAAATGGCATTGTCTTATAATAGGATGTCTAACTCGACCTCAGTTTAAGACCGTCTAATTATTGTCTTGTTAGTAAGATGACCTCCTTAAAAGAAGACGTAAGGCGCAGCGCCATGCTGTGTATTCTCACAGTCCCTGCTACAATGACCAGTCATGACCTTATGAAGTTTGTGGCCTCATTCTATGAAGTAATTGAACATATGAAAATCATCAGAGATTCCACTCCAAACCAGTATATGGTGCTGATAAAGTTTAGTACACAGGTAAAACCTAAAGATATTAGACTCCTTTGCCGTAGGAACTGTTTTAGAAATGGCTTGTGTATTGCTCCATAGATGCTATTTGACGGTGCTATCCAACTGCAGCAGTCTGCTGTGTTACCTGAGATCACAAATCTTATCCTCGTGCGGTGTAAAGCGAAATGTCTTTCTCACGCTTTCCTTAAAGCGACACTGAGCCTGGTAGGCCTGGAATTAGGCCTGCATCTTGAATGGCTGCTATGGAAGCAAGTACCTCTCTATCCTACTTCGTACTTTGTCACAGCTGACGGGGTGTTGAAATCTAGAAAATCCTGCTCTCGGGTGCTTCAGAAATGACTGTGCTTCTAGTAAGTAGACGAGGATGGAATAAAAGCACAGCATGCTCCTAAACATACTCCGATATCTTCACGAGCGCGTGGTGCAGAGCAGAAAGAGCCTGGTCAGCGTGGCAGCATTAGTTTGAATAGAAATTAAGGATTGAGAAGACCCATTACCTATCTAGTCCACTGCTCTGAGGAGAGTGGGGCATTTGTCAAGATCAGCAGGACCACTACACATACCCGGTGTAATAAGCTTCCTTTCTCTCAAAAGTGGGTGAGGTGGACTAGATGACCGAATACTGTAGTTCTCATCCATGGCTGTCAGAAGGCTAATATTCCTATGTGTTGTGTACATGTATATGCACCCAGAAATGCAGAAAAACCCACTCGATATCAACTTGCTTTATTTGCACTAGACATTTTCCGAGCAATCTTGCATTAATTCAGCAGAACTGTCTAGAGTTAATTGACTTGGCAACTTCTCATTTGTCTATCAAAAATTGCTGATTTCTGCTCCAGTAGGCCCTCAAAGGCAATTGCTGCATGCAGCAAAAGGCCGTTTGAATTACATTACATCATTATTTGTTTTGTGGAGCTGTATGGCTTGTGTGTATATGAAGCGACTTGAAACAATGACATGGACAGACTGGAATCACTTCATATTTTACTATTAAAGGATGGGGGGAAAGGAAGAGATAATGCCCTGAAATCTAGCTTGCTTCACTTGCTGGTAGGATCACTTACTGGAATATCCCAGCATGTTAAAACGTTGCCACCCAGTGATGTTGCCACTGAGTGGGTGGCTTGGCTAGTCATTCTGAGGCAGGTAAAATTTTGGGCCTGATGTCTGAGTGTGTCCCTTCCTAAGTCATGCTCTGTTATTGGTGGCTCAACAAATATCTGAGATGCTTTTAAGTGAAATGGATTCTCTCCTGTAGTTAAATTTTATATGCCATCCTTTTCACCTACATGAACGTCAATGTTTTTGAATAGGGCCCTCTGCAGCAATCTTTTTACTCCAGGTTTTTGCAAAGAGACAATATTTGCTTCCCACCCATGCTGAAATTGCTGACTAGGGACAAAACTAAAGAGAGAGATTGGCTATTGCTGTTGAATATTAAGATCATAATAGCTATCCTCATTGTGCACGTCAGTTCTTCCTGCCAATTCAAGTAAACTATTCTGCTGAAACCAATGTGGAAATGAAGGGATCCTGACTAGCAGGAGCGCTCAAGAGATTAACCTATGAAATACCTTTATTTTTGGTAATATCATGGTACTTGGAGGTCTCATTTGCCTTACTCCTCTTCAACTGGCTCCCTTTGGTTTGTGCACAGGCTGATGCTGATAGCTTTTATATGGCCTGCAACGGTCGACAGTTCAACTCCATAGAGGAAGATGTGTGCCAGCTGGTGTATGTGGAGAGGGCTGAAGTCTTCAAATCGGAAGATGTAAGTTTCTTTTTCTGATATTTTACAAGTGGTTTAATAGGATTATCTGGGAGTGGGCAGGGCAGGCCTGTCTGTGGGGCTGGAGGATACTTAACTGCAGCAAGCCCGACTCGGCCTTTGATTGTTGCAATACTTCCATAGGGGAGAATGACTTATTCGCTGAACTGATGGGGCTCAGCCCTAATAAGTGATCCCTGAAAATTCTCCAGGTCCAAATTTCTTCCTCTTACAGTAGATCTTAGCGATTCCCGAAATCTGAATTGGGCCTGGTGCAGATAAACTTACCATATCATGTCTGTGCTTTTGAGAGGCGGTTGTATGTTCTGAATCAGTAATGCTGGGGCTAGGATAGCGAAGCAAAGCATTCCCCCCCAAACAAATGGATTATTTTCCTTTCAGATTTATCCGCTGGTATATTAACCCACAGTAATTCTTCACCCTCACCCTTGCAACACCTCGGTGCGGTGGAATAAATGACCCCTATGGGGAAGCTAAAGCAGAACAATCAAGTGACTTGCGCATGGTCACAGAGAATGTACCGGAGCTGGGAATAGAACCTGAGGCCTGGCTCCTACTCACGTCTCTGGCATAGCTCCTCTCAGATGTTTAGGAAAAATCACTGAAATGTTTTGCCATGCATACAGTTGAGTATTAGTTGTGCACTGTCAATGGTTAGACCAATAATCAAAATAGCTAACAAGGTCAGCCACTGTTGTGGTTGAATTTTTTGTCTGCATTTAAACAATTCATTTACTCCCTAGCCCCCGCAGGTACGAAGCAGTAGGGTAAGAGGTTGTGTAGCTAAACGTACATAACTTACCCATAGCATATGGTGTGTGCAGCGATAAGCTTGTGCTCCTCTTCTTGTGAAGGGAGCCAGCCTTCCCGTAATGGATCTGACGGAGCTGCCAAAGTGCACGGTGTGCCTGGAAAGAATGGATGAGTCTGTGAACGGGATCCTTACCACGGTGTGTAACCACAGCTTTCATAGCCAGTGTTTGCAGCGCTGGGAAGACACCACGTAAGACGCTTTTTATTCTCCTGATTCAAAACGGTGTGTTTAAGGTGTGGTGGAGCTCTTCCTTGCCTACATTGACAGGACCAGCTCTTCATCGCTAATGCGGGGATGGGAGCTGCTCCAAGCCCTAGTGATCTTTGCCTTCCTTGTTAGGAGGCACAAAAGATAAATCTCCTAGACAAGGATAGTTGGACAAAGCTCCCTCTGGCTCTTCACTGCCATGAGCTATTTGCAGAGTAACACACAGAATTTTAAAATTCTGTAGGATAGAGATGTCAGCTGTCACTGTTTCAGACACAGAGACCCCATCGTCTATGTCCAGTCTTGCATGGCTCAGCTTCTCCTTGTCTACATTGGGTCAGTGTCCTCTCCACTGACCTGTGGATAACTGAGGCTGTATGGGAGGTGTAATGCAATAGGTGTCTGTTTTAGATGTTTCCAAAGCTACACAAAGTCTCTGCTCTGAGGCATTTTCAATCTAACTTAGACATTACAATAATGACAAGGAATTGGGCCTGATTGCTAGACCAGACTCTGTCCAAGGGGAGATCTTCACTGCAATGCAAAGCGGAAGGGAAGGGATCAAAAGCCAACAAGGTTACTTGGCAAATGGGAAACGGGAGGCTGCTTCAGTCATAGAGCGCAGCAGGAAAAAACATGGTCCAGACTGAGACCAAGGGGATAAGCGCTCATGTTTCTAGCCAGGGAGCACAGGGCCAGGCTTCAGACTCAGACTGATCCCTTGCCCGCGGCGCTGCTAGCTGCCATCACCATTTCATTACAGCCACTGCTGGGTTTTTCCAGAGGCTTTGTATTTTAACTAAAGTTGTACCCAGCTGCCCATACCTGACCCCTTACTCAAAAGTTTTTAGAAATAAAAGTCGGGGGGGGGGGGGAAGAGTAGGACCTACGTATAGAAGCACAAAATCCTGGTCTGAGTCTTAGCCTCCACTGGATTGAGGAGAAAGGGAGAGGCCGAGTGTGCTGAAGCTGTGATATGCCCAGGCAGTAATCTGGGGGGAGTCAGCCTTGTATTGCTTTACAGTGACCTCTTCTGGAGTAGCATTAGCTGGGCTTTGCAAGGAATCTGGCACCAAAAACTACATGGAAAGTCCAATATAAATTTCCACTGAAGAGTGAAGTAGTGCGTAACTGCCACTTAACATTACAAATGTGTGTTGCTGAAGCGTTCGAGAGATCTTATCCTTAAAACGTGTGCATTCTTGCCTTTAATTACTTAACCTTAATCCTTTAGAGTATTTTTGCTCTTATTAGTTCTACGCATTCCGTTTAGATAGTGCAGTCAGATTTGAACATGTCTGAGTCCTTCACAGAATCTCCCAATGAGAACAAAGTCCTTTTATCTATCATTCATATTTTGCATTCCTCCTGGTAATTAGTTGCCATTTGTTGCAGTAACTCGGATTGCCTGATGTTACAGAAAAGTAAATATCAGAGCTGATCTCAAATTCTTCATTGCTTTCCTGTCTATAGTGGCATCATTCCTTTGTTGTTACAGTTAACATTTCACTATATACCCTCTTTTGCATGCCGTGTTTCAGTAGAGCTAATTGGTCTTGTCCCAAAGTATACTCCGTACAAAATGTCAGCAGGATTGAATTAATAACTTGTCGGTAAAAATAGCTTGGTGCCTCATAAATCAAAAACAGTTTAAATTTAAAGAAATGAGATTTTGCCAGTGACTGACTAATCCAGATCCCTCCTGGCTCATTTTTAACCAAAAACTGGCACAATATCAAAGCTTAAAACATGTGTATTGCACAAGGCTACATCTCCTCACTAAAATTAAATCTCTTGCATGACAATTTTTTTCTAATTAACGTTGTTTTGCTAGACTAGAATATTTTCAATAGTGCATATTTGCAGCATCCTCCCACGAGAATGCAACAGGATCCCGTGGAGCGTTACACAGATAGTAAGGAAATCTGGGTTCTGTTGTCTCAAATTTGAGACCATCTAAGTAACAAGGAAGTGGCTGTAGAGAGAAGTGTGCCTTTTTCTTTCCTTTGAATGAAAACTCTACATCTAACCAATCAGATGATTCTGACACAGCCCACCAACCAGGAGATTGCTCCTCAATCTATATCTACACAGCTCTTACTTCTCACAAGAGCCAAATGCGTGACACAGACCCAAACCAAGATGCATTCAAAATTATCCATGAAATGTGAGATGGATAATGATCTAGGGGGCTAGCCCCACTCCTGGTGAGCAAAGGGGCCAACCTTGTTTTTCCAGCTTTCTTCTTCTAAGATCAAAATCATCATGGTGATCAATTGAAGGAAGTACTAATAGAGGCGGTCCAAAATAATCAGATTGTTCACTATCCAGAAGAGTTTTACTGGGTGCTTTTTCTTTTAATGTTGAGGACAAGTAATGTTTCATGGCATCAGTTGACTTGCATTGCATTCTCCATGGAAAAGACTGGGTGCATTGCCAATCTCGTCTCCCGGCTTTATCCCAGCTGTTCAACTCTTGGATCACAGTTAAAACTAAGATTATTGCAAGACACTTCATCTGGTTTAAGAAATGGCATTCATCAGTTTTACAGGAATAACTAGTGAGAGAACAGCTGGTTTGAGCAGGAGGGAGGCAAATTTTGGGTCAAACTAGTGAGGAAAAAGCTGAAAGACGGGTGGGGGCAGGGAGTGTCCCACAAAAAACCCCAGGATGCAACATCTGCCTTAAACTTCCTGGATAGGATCAGTTTCTCCCCATCTCAGCAGTAATCATCGGGTTCCATGTATCTAACTGTATCTGCTTGATTGTTACGGTTATAGGTGTCCTGTCTGCAGGTACTGCCAAACACCTGAGCCAGTGGAAGAGAATAAATGCTTTGAGTGTGGAGTTCAAGAAGTAAGTAGGTGGGGTGGGAGATGAGTGAGACTTACTAGTTTTGATCCCACTGGTGCTTTTTGTCATTTTAGTTTCCAAAACCTATAATGCACTGGGCTGCTGTTGGCCCATCTTTCTTCTGGCTAGATTAGTGCACCCGTTTTCCATTGGGGTTGGTCCACTGGGAGGGGATGCTGTTACACAAAAAAAAGATGTCCTGCTGTATGAAAAATCTTCCCAGGGCCTTTGAGAAGCATAGCAGATGTTCAGAGCTTGCTTTCAGTGTTCCTTTGGGATGCCTCGCTTTGGGAAGGTCGCTCTTTGGGCTGCCCTTGCATCTGGTGCACTGAGACCTCTTTCAGTAGACTTATACTGTACTTCTGCTGTCTTGCCTTTAGTCTTCATGGGGGTGCACAACAAGCAAACCCTGTGCCTTGCCTAGGAAGGTGATTGGAAATACGAGCAGCAGTGTGTGCTGTCAGTGGAGGATGCTACAGTTGTCCTTGCTGGATGCTTTCTCAAACCTCTAAAACCACACAAGCACCTTTTTCACATTAAAAAGTGTTACTCTTATATATGTGCAAAATCTCTCTCCTTCTGTTGACAGAACCTTTGGATTTGTTTGATATGTGGGCACATTGGATGCGGCCGTTACGTGAGCCGGCACGCTTACAAACACTTTGAGGAAACTCAGCACACTTATGCAATGCAGTTAACCAATCACAGGGTTTGGGACTATGCTGGAGGTAAACCTCTCCCTTCTGCTCTTAACGGTAACCTTGCTCGCTTGGACATAGTTCTCAGAATTTTTCTGCGGTGGCATTTTTAACACAGTCCTAGTAATAAAGGTAACATGAAGATTTGAAGGGAGTTTTTGCTGTGTTAATATCCCATCTTCTGGGGCCATCTGTTTTCTCTAGTAAAGCCATTCCAGATGCTTCAGGGGGAGGCCATAAACCCATAATGCCACGGGGCAGCCCTGTAGCATTGGTGGAATGGAGAGGCCTGTCTCCTGATCAATTTGCCCTGAAGCATGACTGAGCTTTTGTAACTATCTTAGCTAGTGTCAATGCAGATTCTGTTAAACGTGGACTGCATTAAGTAATTGCTAATCTCTTTGCCTCAGTATTACTCTGTGGCATCAAGCTGCATGATTAACTGCTGTGTAAAGTATTTCCCATAGTTCCAGCCAAGTTATAACACCTGGGTTTTCTCAAATTGAAACTACCCTTAGTTTGGTTGCTTTTCTCTCTTTAGATAATTATGTCCATCGACTGGTTGCAAGTAAAACTGATGGGAAGATAGTTCAGTATGAGTGTGAGGGGGATTTGTGTCAGGACGAAAAAATCGATTCCTTACAGTTAGAGGTAAATATTTAGCTTTCTTCAGCTACGACTTTGTGCTGCTATATATAAACGTGCATCCACGCTAAATGTGACTAAAAATGGCATATGTTTTACTGCTTTTTACTTCTTTTGGCTCTGCAGAGCCAACACAGCGAAGAGTTAGTGGGATTCTGTTCCTTCCTGTGCCTCATCAACCAAAAGTTCATAAATTTCAGTCAGTTACAGCTGTGCAAACTCAGTGGAGTTGCAGAGGTGTTACTGATGGCCAATTCTGGCCAGTGGAACGTTCCTTACTAGTGATGATACATAAGAAGGGACAACTCCTAGTTTGACTTCAGGAACCCAGGGTGAGTTTGTGGGGCAGACAGAAGTAAACTGAGCATGCTTGAGCTAGAATCTAAGCTCTAGGACCCCATGGTGGCATTTTTTACAGTTATACTTTCAGTGTGAAACCTTACTTGATGGCTAAATCACTATAACCTTATTTTTTCTGAGAACTTGGATTCTGCCATCTTAATTGGCCTTGGGTTCAAATTCAGCATACAAACCATCAACAGAACTTAATGTAGGATTTTTAAATGGATACTTCACTGGTAGAGCAAACTAGATCAAACTTTTGTAGAAAGAATTTACTTGACTAGCTATTTGGAGTCTCTACTGAAAATGTTTAAGGGCTTTGTCTTCCTGCTTAAACCTGCATTGAAGTCCTAATCTGGTATTTGTTAGTGTGCAGCTAAGCAAATGATCATATTTTCCCAAATCCACATTATAAATTTACTAGAAGATCAAACAGGAAAAGATGGGATGTAAAGCAATAAGTCCTTGTTTAAACACAAAAATAGCATTGGTAATGAGCATTCCTCACCAGAAGAAAGCACAAAATACTGAGGATCGTTATTCACAGCTGAAGATCAGTTATTTCTCCCCAAGTGCAGATCACATGAGATTTGCACCCAACCCCTCTTCTTAAGGATTTTAGAAGCCTGTTCAGTTGTAGAGTAAAACCACCTGAAAATGGAAAACAAAGTGCTGGCTCGGAGATCCTTCAATAGATCAAATGCAGATAACAGGTGTGACTGGTAACTTCATGTTCTCGTTGAAGGTAAAAGCTAAGGGGACTTACCACTTTTTCTAGGGTGCTTTTATTGTCCTTTCCCCTCATTATAAAGCACTTACTATTGTGATGCTAGCGATGGTCCATTTAAAACTCACAGGGGGAACCCCACGAGCATGCAGTAAAGATTTTGCAATTAATTTGATTTTTTTTTCATTATCTGTGCACTACATCTGCAGTTTGTACCCATCTGTGAAAAGTTTAGCGTGCTGCTTCTGCACAGTTTAATTGTATTAGATATCTGGAGCCCTTTGGGTTTATTGGCATCTGTGAAACAGTGGTAACCTGCCCTAACTATATATTTCTGCATGTCTTGTATGATTGTAGTACTCATATTTGCTTACAAGCCAGCTGGAATCTCAGCGCATCTACTGGGAAAACAAGATAGTCCGAATAGAAAAGGATACAGCGGAAGAAGTAAGCTTTTTTTCTTCCCTAGTCTTGTTAATTGAACACTTGGCCTGATTCTCAATGTGCTGAACACCCCCAGATCCCATTGGCTCTAATGGGAGTTGCGGTTGCTCAGCACCTCTGACAATCATGCCATTACTGTGCAGTTTTCGTGTCAGGGAATTACGCTGCCGTATGAAGGAGAGCTCCTTTTCTTCTTTAGAGGGGAATTAGCTTGGAGATCCCTCCCCTGTCTTGTGCACAGACTCTGAAAATTGCTGATGAGCCGTGCAGAAGGAGGCAAAGCGCCACCCAGATTGAAGCCTGATTTAAATTTGGTGGCTCTGAAACCTATGGAACTAGTGGAAATGTTAGGAAGCCCTGAAATGAAAATCTGGGAAATGTCACTCTATGCTACACTAGCCCTCGCTAGTCTTTTGTGACATTAACTTGCTCCACTGAAGAAAGCAGAAATAATCTCTGCTCCGCACATCCCCCAAAAGATGTTGGTTTAGAGTTCTATGATTTTGTGGAGTGTTTTATGGGCAGGACTGATCCAAAATGTCTTGGGCAGAAAGGTACAGAGAAGCTTTAGTGAAATTGGAGAACATAAAAAATATCCGTAATCTGTGCAGATCCGATTGGTGTTTATGCTTTAAGTGAGTCAAAGCTCTTGGCTAAATCCTCAACTGAACCTTGGCTGCATGCTGTGTAAGATTACATAAACTTTGTGGCTTCCAATTAATCATGCACTGTATCTGCAGTTAAGCCACTCCATAAACATATGAAGAATTCATGTAAAATTAGCTACATGTAGTGGGTCCCGAAAACTTCATTTTCAGTAAGAAATGGCTGAAGAACCTTATCTGTGTTTCTGTAAAAGAAAAAGTTTTATAGTTAAAATCCTCTTGGAAATAGCTGAAAACACAGAAGCTACAACTCTAGTTTTAAACTAAAATAACTAGGCCATATATTCTGAAGACGCCTCCTTATTCTAAAGATCCCTGTAATTGTTCATGGACCTCTGTCCTTAGAAGGGCCTTTTGAATTAACTGTACAAAATATTCCACTATCCATTGGCAAGTGTGCCTCCCAAAATTAACCAGAAGTTGCATAAATATTAAACTATAAGTCTGAAAAGCATAAAACCTGACCTGGTTTCACAGTGGCTCCATTGAAATCCGTGTGTGTGGTGGCTTTTAAACTTGTCAAGGGTGCTGCTTCAAAAAAGCAGTGTCCATTTCAGTCCATGTTGCCAGTATGTGAAAGGTTTTTTTTATTAGCTATTGAATGACATCTCTCTTTCCCCACTTTGAGCCATCATTCTGTTCACTGGGTTAGGATACAAAGACATTCCTTGTTTAGTTTTTTTGGTTTTTCATACATCATATTTAGTCCCCAGATCACGTATTGGACTGTGGCTCTCTTTAAGCAAAGCAATGGTGCCTGGTTGTATATTACAGTGGAACAGGACACATACCCAGACATATGCAACTTTTTTGGTTTGAATTATGCATGACTGAGAGATAATGTCAGTAGGTCACTGTCCTATGACAGAGGTCGGCTGCTGCTTAGTAAACACTGAAGTGGAGCCAGCATCTGAGTGTGAACTGCTAAAGTAACTCTCTTTAAATTTAAACTTCAGAAAAAGAGGGCAGCAACGTAGGGATTTGCTGTAGGCTTATTTAGTGTCCCCCAAGGTCTGCCCCACACCATCTTTACAAGCTTAGGTGCGGTTCTCTAGAAGCAGATTCCATAACAATTAGCCTCTTGTCAGTGTGTCTGTTAATTCTTCTTCTTTTTTGGCTAGCAGCATTTATAGGGATTTCTTCTTTTTTTTTTAAAAAAAGGGGGAGGGATTTTTTTCTGCTGCTTTCAATCTTTTGAACACTTGCTCACCTCATTCAGCAATTGGTCAAAGTCTAGAAAATGCTCCTGAAAACGTGACCGTCCTAATGAAAGTGCACAGGACTTTGACCTGTTTGAAATGTCTGTTTGTTTTTACAGATTAACAACATGAAGACTAAATTTAAAGAGACCATTGAGAAATGTGACAATTTGGAGCACAGGCTGAACAACTTACTTAAAGAGAAACAATCTGTGGAAAGGAAGTATGTTTCTGTCTCTAAAAGTAGATTTTTAACAAGTCTCCTAGCTCTGGTGTTTATACACGCTACTTTAAGACTCAAATTGGATCTGACTTTTTAAAACCCTCTTCATCAAGTTCTCAATACTTCTTGAATATGAATATTTTTAATACCCTCAACTGGTGTGGTAAGGACCCTGACTTTAAAAATCCGATGTCCCACCTCTGTGGGTGTCTTATGTATTTAAAGTGGCTGTAGCATGGAATGCAGCTTTTGATCTGCTGCTCTTTCCACATAGATTGCTTGGTTAGCATTCATTAAATCTTTCTCCTTCCATGCCCACTCAGAAGTGGAAGCCAGTCAGCTGTGTAGTCAGAAGGAATACAACCTGCAAAGGAAGGAAAGCAGCTGGGAGGAGGAATTCCCCATGAATAATGCATTATTAAAACAAACTTTGAAGCATCTAAATTAAAGATGCCTAACATAGTGTCTGTCTTTGTAACAATCCCTAGCACTCTTGTACAGTCCCTGTCATCCTTGGTGCTTTACACACTTTCCTGGAAATTCGGCAAGCATTATCCCTGTCATACGCACTGATTAAATTGGGGCACAAAGGTGGTGACTATCCCATGATCATCCAGAAAGTCCGTAGTAAAGCTGGAGTCTGCTCAAGCCACCGCACCATACTGTGTGTGGAACATGTGTTTGTAGGCAGACGGATGAGACACAATTGCCAGTAAACCATAGGCTGGATTGGAAAACCTGTGTGATAAGGGATGACTGTTAACATGTGATGGTTCTTTGTCTTTCTGCACTGTAGCTTGTTGTCCTCGCATCTTGATGGTACCAGTTGATTCTAACATCTAGCCAATGCCTAGATCTCTGTTTTTCATAGATTCTAGGACTGGAAGGGACCTCGAGAGGTCATCGAGTCCAGTCCCCTGCCTGCATGGCAGGACCAAATACTGTCTAGACCATCCCTGATAGACATTTATCTAACCTACTCTTAAATATCTCCAGAGATGGAGATTCCACAACCTCCCTAGGCAATTTATTCCAGTGTTTAACCACCCTGACAGTTAGGAACTTTTTCCTAATGTCCAACCTAAAGCTCCCTTGCTGCAGTTTAAGCCCATTGTTTCTTGTTCTAGCCTTAGAGACTAAGGTGAACACTCTTTCCATTCCACTCGTATCTCAGGAGGATGTTAAACAGCAGCTACTAAAGTTAGACATTTTAAAATCAGCAGGTTCAGATAACTTTAATCCAAGAAGTATAAAAGAGCTGGCTGAGGAGCTTGCTAGATTGTCACTGATTTTCAGTAAGTCTTGAAACAGTGGAGAAGTTCCAGAAGAATGAAAGAAAGCTAATGTTATGCCAATG